AGGCTGAGGTAGGAGGATCACTTGAGGCTAGGAGTTGGAGACCAGCCTGGACAACATAGTGAGACCCAGTCTCTATAAAAAAATAAAAATTAGCCAGGTATGGTGATACACGCCTATAGTTCCAGTTTCTAGGGAGGCTGAGGGAGGAGGCTCACTTAGGCCCAGGAGTTGGAGGTTGTGGTAAGCTGTGATGTGCCACTGTACTCCAGCATGGGCAACAGAGCTAGATCCTGTCTCTAAAACATGCACACACACACACACACACACACACACACAAAGCTTTTTGGGAGTTCTTGATAACTTTTATGAATATGAAGGGATCCTAAGCCCAAAAGTTGAACTACTGCTCTTGGGCATGATGTATTCCTGAATGGGGAATGACAATGAAACTGCCCCCATTTTTAAAATCATTTCTCTCTCTGCCTTACTTTTCACCTTCTAGTCTTCTCTCTAATTCTTTTAGCAAAGCTTCTGAATTTGTCTGAGTTACAAATGTGGTATGTGTCTCTACCAAATTTTATGAAGCAAATTCCTGTTGTGGCATTTTTTCTGCTGTGCTATGCTAACAAAATAAGACAAATATATATATAAACCTTGTATTTGTAAACCTTACTATGGATGATATAATGACATAAATAGAATTTAACCTATAACTCCTACTAAAGACTTTATTGTCTCAGAAGATGGTAAGTTTCCTAAAGGTCAATATTTAAAAGTATAATTTCACTGGTCAACCCAAGAAGAGGTTTTTTAGATTACGTAGTTCACTCAGATGTAGTCTTAGTAATGTTTTGGTTAATGTAAAAGGATATTTGAAGCATAAAGTCCATCTGTGTACATAGATATTTGTATATATTCACTTGGGTATTTTGTTGCTTGAAAACTGGAGAGGATTGAGTGCATCTAATTGGAAAATTTTAATGGATTAGAATGGTTGTACTACAAATAAGCCCAGCATTCAATTAAGGCTCTGTATTTTACTATACAGGGACAGTTGCAAAGAACACTCACAAACAATTCTTACCTTGCCTCTTTCCTTCTTATCAAAATGATTTAACATGATCAAAATTATAAATATTTCATTTGTATATTTAATTCACTAGGAGACTGGTCAATCCCTGAAGTGTGTGTAACATCTGAGTGAAAGGATGTCTTTCACTGCTATTTTGAAATTGGTTTTTGGGCTGAAATCATGAGGCCCTTATCCAATTTGGAAAAAGGAGGAAGGGGTATGATATCATTTTAGTCTTCACCTTTATGATAAACTCTACTTGAAGGGTCACTGTTGGGTTCCTCTTATTCTCCATTTGGCCTTGTGGAGGATTCATAAATGTTTTACTCATTTTCTCATTAATTTATATGATCTAGAGATTCATTATGAGGTTCCAAGTGCCTTTGGTTGAAAAATCAGTATATGAAATGTTAGTAAAATTTCTCACCTACACAGCAGTGACATTTAATATTCCATTTTTAGAAATGTTACCAAAAAAAAGACTACCAGCCAAATAGTACACACCTTTTTCCACCCCAAACTAGAAAAATGTATAAGGTTGTCTTGTGCACTCTTTATGAAGCCCTGCCAAATGCTACCTCCTGGACAGACTATGCAGTAGAAAATCAGTCAACAAACCTTGTGGCAGTGTTGATGGAACAGGCCCTTGATTCTGGGTTTGGATGCTGTTTTTCTGAGACTGTTCATCTTAGAGCAAGTGAGTCAGATGAGGCATACCTGCAGAATTTAGACAAAACCTGGCAGAAGGCCTTGAGCCGACTCTTCCGAGTGAGTGGGCTGGCTTTGCACTGATGGAGCTTTCCTGAGCCCACGGATTGATGGTTGGTGCACCCTGGAGTCCATCTGCCTGGCACTCAGTTTGAAGGGGTTCTTGCTCCAAGGGAGACGGTCTGTAGAGAAAATAGCAAATGTCAATCTGGAGTCTGGAAATAAGTTTATATTTACCTATTTGATGCATTCTAGTGTTGTAGATTTCAAGGTAAATAAAATAAGAACGTCTTCTTTTGAAGTGGATTACAATAAGACTAATAGAGAACGGATAGCCTAGTGTGTGCAAATGAGCACCGTTAGTGCTGTGATGTGGTTAAGGTAGAATGAGCAACGCAAGAATGGGAGTAAGCTGTCAGTTCCACTGCAGAAGTATTTGATAGACGTTAGATTTTTTTTAAGGTGCAAAAAAGTTGCAAAAAGAAAACAAATGATCTGTTATCTTAGTCCCCTTTTACCCCCCATCATGGAGCCTTAGTGGATGTTAAAAAAAAAATCATTTTTTGAAAATTAAGGAATACCTCTAAGATTATGCTTTTTCAGAAATTCCCCTGAGAGAATCTGTTATCTGGAAACACTAAAGAGCATTAGAGTAGAAAATACAGGTTGAACATCCCTAATCTAAAAATCTGAAATCCAAAATGCTCCAAAATCCAAAACTTTTTGAGTGCCAACATGACACCACAAGTGGAAAATTACACACCTGACCTCATGTGACGAGTGGCAGTCAAAATGCAGTTAAAACTTTGTTTCATGCACAAAATTATTAAAAATATTGTATAAAACTAACTTTAGGCTGTGTGTATAAGTTGTGTATGAAAAATAAATGAATTTTGTGTTATGACACAGGAAAATGGACCCTGAAACTGGGGTCTGGGACTGAAGGCCAAGAAGGTTCTTGGCTTCATTCAGGAAAGAATTCAAGTGTGAGCCTTAAGCTGGAAATGAAAGCAACATTTATTAAACAAACAAACAGCAAGCAGGGTACCCCATAGACAGGGCAGCACCTGTACATTGCTGGAGGACTCTATTTATGGCTATCTCTTGATTATATGCTAAATAAAGGGTAGATATTCACGGGTTTTCTGGGGAAAGGGTGGAGATTTCCAGGAATTGAGGGGTTCCTCTTCTTTTCGTACCATGTAAGGTCACTTCCAGGGGTTGTGATGGTGACTGTAAACTGTCATGCCACTGGTGGAATTTGTTTTAGCATGCTAATACATTATAAACAGGGGATAATGAGCAACGGGGTGAGCATAGGTAGTTTACATGGCCATCTTGGCTCTTATTGATCTTAACCCGTTTCTTTACTGCATCCAGTTTTCCTGTTTTTGTCTGAGACCTTGGTTCAGGTCTTGCATCTTTTTAAAGAGTTGGGCCTGCTGATTTTCTCTCATTTAGATTTGGGTCCCGTCCCCAAGATATCTCATTTTGTTCATTTTTGGACATTTCTTTGGAAATCCCCACCTTCAATTCAGGCCTAAGATTGGATGGAAAGTCTGATTAAGTTTTAGAGTGAGGCGCACTGAGACCAACACTATTTCCCTTTCTCCTCTGTCTTTCCCTCCGGCAAATAACAACAATTAAAAAGCAAACAAAAGACATCCAGTCTCTGAAGACTACCATGATACTGCAGAAATGGCATAATCCCCACTCTCGACTACCACGGCCTCAACGATTTGCTGCTCCAGTGGCAGAAGCCCCACATTGGATGTTTGTCCCACATGGATTTGTGCTATTGAATCAGAACCAACAAACATTTGGTTCTCTGTTGAACTGAATATGGGGCCTCCCCACTGTGTGATGGAAAGTATATAGAAAAGGATACTATTTTGATTGAGGTGGGGGGAAAAGTAAAGTTCTAAATTGAGAACTGTTTGAAACCCTTGGAATTAAGGCTGTTTTTCTTTTTCTGGTAGTTTTGAGATAAGATATGGGAATTGCAGAAGGAAAATTTCTATGTTCTTGTTAAGACACAGGCTTCCTGTTTACACCTTTGGAAGGAAAATTGTATACACGGATTCCCGAAGTTCTATTTTAAGTGTGTTCATTTTATTACTTCTTCTACAATCATTGCCTTGGCCCTGGGGCAACAGAAATGACTGGCATTGGGCCTATAGGAGATGGAGTCCAGGAGGGGAAAGTGGTACAAGAGACCTGTGAGGGAAATTTGGAGGTCAAGAGGGGTTTTTCTATGAAAAAAAGAAAATACATCAAAATTCAGTTCCCAGGCCACCGACCAAGAGCTACTTTTTATGTTTGATATTAAGCTTTATTGAGCCTTAGTAAGTCCCAGGAAGAATTCCAAGACTTTAATTTATCTAATTCTTTCAGATAGCTCTATGAGGTATTATTATGATCTCCATTTTTATAGATGAGCAAACAGGCATGAAGAAATTGAGTAACTTGCCCAGATAATCCTACTTTCCAGCCTTTTAAAAGAGAGAGTAGTTGAGCACAGCTTGCTTAGTAGGTATATTTAGGCTCTCGAATTAGATCTTTTTTTTGCATCTGTTTTTAACAGCTAATTGGCGTACATGAAATTTAATAATATCAATTTCTTAAGTTTCCTCCTTTTTATTCTAATTTCCTTGAGAGCAGGAGCTTTGTCTCATTTGCCATAGAAATCCCAGCATGCAGCATGGCGACCTGTCTAAAATATTTGTAGAATGAATTCATAGATTCAGATATTTTGAAATTCAAAATGAAGAATTCTTTGAGGATACACTGACTCCTTTGTAGCACCTTTGTCAGTGCTTTGAAAAATTAATACTTAATAAATATCTGGAGAATGCATAAATGAAATTGTTACCCTTTTTGAGTAAGGGACAGGGCTTATTGATTCTAAAAGATTGTGTCATTTCTTATTGATATAAATGGATTGTGAATTCTCTGTTTGTTTAGCCCCTTTTAAATTCTATAACTCTGGATTTTTCCAAGTTTATGTTTGTAGTGCTTTGCCAATTTAGTGAATTTCTTTTAATGTATAAAAATATTGCTGACTATGCAAAAGGATAAAAGGGTAGAATGATTTTAGATGAATCTGGCCTTGATCTGGGAAGTTTTTCTTGCTTATAGGTACATTTTAAATACACAGGAACCAATCGATCAATCTCTGGTTTTTTTTTTTTCTCCCTTTTGCATAACAAGAGCTGATTATCTAGCATTCTATTCAGTGGTGAACATTCATGTTTCGGGTTGGCACATATTGGACAAGATCCATTGAACCATGTAAAGGATTCTGTAAGTTGTCTCATTTGTAATCATCTGGATACCTGCGGATAGTGTGATAATGAGGTGCCGCAGCTGCATTTGTAACATGTTTTCTGGCCCAGGGCATTGCATCCGTGGTAGGATGTGAGCAGATATAAGAGTGAGGTGGGAACTGCACAAATGTGGAGTATGAAAAAGCCCTCTGTAGAAAGCTCACATTCACCTCTGTTCTCATACATACGTGTGTATAAAGGTACATACATGCACACTTATTCCTATGTTGAAATGTTTGCACAGTAGGACAAAGTATTTTCGTATTAGGACAAGGCCAAGCTCGTTAGTTAGTTGTCTATGGTGGATGCAGTGTCCTCTGCCTGGACTTGTAATACAGCTTATGCAGGAGCTTGGCTGTGATTTGAATTTTGTAGAATGGAAGCGATTTTCGTAGGAGGAAGCGTGAGTACCAATGTCGCCCTTGGATTTAGGGACAGTTATAGCCTGTGTAACATGAAGCTGCACAGCCAGTACTAAGCTATACTTGCAGAATGTGCATCAAATCTTGCTGCGGTTGCATCTCTCCTCTTTCCAGCTTTCTGTGAAATCTTAGCCAAAGTGGGACTTTATGAGTGAGAATTTTGAAGTTTTGAGAGCTTGATATTCTCTCCATAGGCTTATGGTACAAGATATAAAAGTACCTTTTAGCAGAATTAAGAGACCACACCAGTTATATCTTTACTTCCTGGCCAGAGGTTTGTATATTTAGGGATCTTGTTACTCAAGGTGAGATTTTGGACGGATTAACTTGTATTTTAATATTCACTCTTGGCTTAACTATGTCTGTGTCATCTGTAATAGAAGCCAGTAAATGTTTAGCTTGTTTATGTTTAGTCTGGGCATTTTAATTATCATCCACAATCCTTAAATGTATCTTACCTACCTGAACCGTTTTCTTACATAATTAGGGTATTCAATGATGACACTTTCTGTTTAGGCCCAGAAATCCTGGATTGAAGGAGTGTTTGACAAGAGAGAATGTAACAGAGTCATACCCAGCTCAAAAGATCCTCACAGGTACAATTTTTAATTACATATTTCTTTCTAAAGCAACACTACTTGAAGGACTGTTTATAGAAATTGAGCGATATGACTTGTCTAGAGGATTTGATAATATCTATAAAGTTAGTATTTTCAAAGTTTGTTTCTTTCGCTTTATAAAAGTATTACATGATTATTGTAGAAAATCTGGTAAGAGCAGGAACCTTGTCGGTTTTGTACCTCACTCCAAGCCCAGTGCCTATGACAGGGCCTGCCACATAGCTGGCTCCCAATATGTCTGTTTAATGAATTGATGAAGTATAAAGAAGAAAGAATTGAATTGTAACAACGGCACTGTTAATATCGTGATGGCTTGCATTCCACTTGATGTTCCTGTTCTCTTGATGGGGGGATAGACACCAGGGAACTGTCTAGTGCTGCATCCATTTTGGCAGGTTTGGATAAATAGTTTACAACTTCTGAATATTGAATATTCAAAATATTGTGACTGTTCCTTATGCTCAACTAAAGTATCTGTGGAAAATAGTGATTGGGATATTTCAGGACCCTGTGCTCGGAGTATACAAACAGGTAATTTTAGTTCCATTTTCCCCCCATAAGCTTTTCATTTGAGCAGATAATGGGCAGTAGAATGGAATGAGTTAGACTACTCAGAGTTCATGACAATCCTTTGGAAGCTCTACTTGTAGGACAAAGTTCAGAAAAGCTACTGCCGGTGAAAGATAGGGGAAGAAAGCGCTATGGAAAATTCCCCAGGGTAATGAGTCCATCAAATTCAAATTGAATGGCATTGCCCTTGAGAAAAAAAAAAAAATTAAAAGGAAAATCAATATTTTAATTAGGGCAATCACTCTGTTTTTAGATTCCTTTGAGCAGTTGGCCTTACAATTCATTTAAAGTTTAGAAGTCATAACCAGATGCCTATAAAGGGGTAGCATGCTGAGGTTCTTAAAATTCTAGTTCTTTAGGGATGACTGAAATAGTGTTCCTTGACTTGGTTAAACATTTACTAGTCCCACCCTCATGGAATTACTTAGGATTTGTAAGCCCTGTGATTGGAAATTCTCATTTTACCTGCTTGCAAAATGTTTACAGCATGCCAAGGTAACCATGTTCTTTCCCTTCATCTTTTATACGTCTTGTAACGTGATGGCGCCTGCAGTGGAAAGCAGGTTAAGCTCCGGTGGCTCCTTTCGCTTCTGTAAATGGATAATCATCTTTACAATCACCTTGAACCTCACAAAAAGGGGTGAAATTACTAAGTCTATTATTAGCCCATAAACTCCAAAAGAATATTAATGCTCCTAATTCCATGAATGGTCCAAGGCATGCCACATTTTATGAAGGAAAGAAAGCAGTCTCCATTTTTGTGGGATTGTAAAAAAAATTAATGGGTGACTATGGCTATTCCCTCTATGCCAGCCTTTTTCGTAAGATCCTAGTAGGATTCCCCAAATTGTAGCTTATGTGCAGTTTTCTTCGTTATGAAGGGCGGGAAAAGGGCGATAATTCACTATCATAATTTTTGATAAAAGTTTATCTCCTTTGTGGTTACTTCCTGTAGCTCCCAATAGGAAACAAATCTGAGAGATTTAATTATAACGTCTTTTTCCTTCTCATTTTCAACTTGTTGAAGTAAAGTTTCTGAGAAAAGACATTCCCAAAAGGCTGCAACAGCAAGATGTGGAAGGCCTGAATATTAGTTTCTGAATAACTTAGAAACTAAGTTTCTAAGTTTATTCTATGAGCACTACCCTTTCCCCCATTATTTTAACTAGAGTTCTCTGTTAAAATTCTTCGCATTGAAAATATAATCATTGATGACCACAATGCTAACCCCAAATACAGAAGGTTCTTCTGAATCATAAAAAAAAAGATCAATCAGGGTAATCATTATAATCATACCAACTGTCCCTCGATTTGTTAGTGTTCTATGGCTTTAAACTCGTTTATGTATATTTTTCTTACTTGATGCTCAGGAAGTCTTTGTCATGATCATAGTTTAATAACAGTAATAGCTACTGAGGCAGACAACTCAGGAGGCTGAAGTGGGAGGATTACCTGAGGCCAGGAATTCAAGACCAACCTGGGCAACATAGCAAGACTCTCTCTAAAAAAAGAAAACAGCTACTATTATTATATACACTGTAATGTACTGGGTACTGTAAGTCACATTACATATATTATCTCAGATAATCCTCTTAATAAACTTATGAAGTAGATATTATTTTCAAATGTGAAAATGGGGGTTCAGAGCAATTGTTAAATCAATGAGATTCAAATCTAGGTATTTTGGTTCCAAACTCAATGTTCTATTAATTAGATCCTAGTTGTTACCATACAATTAAATATATGTGATAAATGACAGACTATTTGGGAAATGATATATGAAAATTCAGCAAATCCTAATTTCTAGACCATGGAAAATAATAGATAGTCACTGTATACACATTAAATATGTTTTCAGATGCATTGGTAAATTAACAGAGGTTTTATTTCTTTAATTTAGGTGTGCTCCAGTATGCCAGGTCTGCCAGAATTTAATCAGGTAAGACTTAGATAAATAAGATTCCTTTTAACTTTTAGACACCCTGTTTAAAACTCATTGGGACAGTTTCCTCTCATCATGAATGGACTCAGTGAAAAGTGCATGCTATTTACCTTAACCAGGCCAGTTTCTTGTAATTTCTAGATTTAAAATACAACTTAAAGTTCTTTCTTTATGCAAATTTAGAGTATATGTGAAATGCCTGGTAAACTCTAAAGCTCCATATAAACATTGGCTATTGTGATTGTTATACTATATTCATGACATTAAGACTATATTCTGGACTGGGCATGGTGATTCACGCCTGTAATCCCAGAACTATGGGAGGCCAAAGTGGGAGGATCACTTGAGGCTGGGAGTTCAAAAACCTATCTCTACAAAAAAAAAAAAAGAAGGTCAAAAGAAAAACAAAGAAAAATAGAAAATATTCTGGTCAATTTGGTTGAATTTAAGAAACACTCTGGCACTTTGTCAATTGTACCTAAGAAGGACTTTGGATTCTTCAGCCTCACATTTATGAAACACCTTACAGGGTGGGTCAATATTAGTAATTAATGTGTTGATTCTGTCTACTTTTATTGACTTCGGTTGCCCTTTAGAACCTTTGCATGAGCTACGCACAAAGTCTTAGAATTCTATCACAATATATTTTTTAGAACACTCGTCACTAAATTGAGACGTATAAACTCCAGAGTTGAAAAAACAATCCATTGGGGGATTTTTAAAGAGAGATTAAGATTTCTTTATTATATATTTTTTTCTTTTAATAGAGAAAGGGTCTCACTCTTGCTCAGGCTGCTCTCAAACTCCTGAGCTCAAACGATCCTCCTGCCTCGGCCTCCCAGAGTGCTAGGATTACAGGCGTGAGCTACCACGCCTGGCCTAAGATTTCTATTTCTACTTTTTAATTTAAGAATAATTAAAATTTATTGTTATATTTAAAAATTTCCCATGTTTCAAAATAAAGTATGAAAAGGGGTACAGTGAAAAATCTCCTACCTACTCTTGCTGCTGGGGAGGAAGCAGCCCAGTTTCACTTCCCCTATTAATAGTTCCCACTGTTATTAGTTTCTTCTGATTCCTTTTAGAGTTTTTAATCCACATATAAGCAAACATAAATACATATTTTAATTTTTCTCCAGTACTCTGTTTTCCACAAATCCTGCTTTAATGGTGCTGTCTTAGTCCTTAGTCTATTTGGGCTGCTATAACAAAATGCCATAAATTGAGTGGCATATAAATAATTGAAAAGTGTTTCTCACAGTTCTGAAGGCTGGGAAATCCAAGATCAAGGTGCTAGGAGATTTGATGTCTCGTGAGGGCCCACTTTCTCAAAATTGTGTCTTCTTGCTGTATCCACACGTGGTGGAAATGCTAGGATTATAAGCATGAGCCACCATGCCCAGCCCATGGTTATCTTTTATAATGTGTAAGTCTGGGCTTTCAGTGTGCCCATCACCTGAATAGTGTTCATTGTACTCAATAGGTAGGTTTTTACCCCTCCCCTCCTTCCTCCTTCCTTCTTGATTTCCAATGACCTTTACATCTCTTTGTGCGTGCATGTGCCCATTGATTAGCTCCCAGTTATTGGAGAGTACCTGTGGTGTTTGTTTTTCCATTTCTGAGATACTTCACTTAGGATAATGATCTCCAGTTCCATCCAAGTTGCTGCAAAAGACATTATTTCATTCCTTTTTATGGCTGAGTAGTGCTCCATCATATATTATATACCGCATTTTCTTAATCTACTCATGAATTGATGGACACTTAGGTTGATTCCACATACTTGAGATTATGAATAAATTATTTTTAAATTAAGGCATGTACATTGCTTTTTTAGACATAATGCTATTACACACTTAATAGACTACAGTGTAGTATAAGCATAACTTTTATATGCACTGGGAAAAAAATTTGTGTGACTTACTTGATTGGGATATTCACTTTATTGCAGTGGTCTGGAACCTAAGCCTCAATATCTCAAAGATATGCCTGTGTTTTATTAAACATTCCCCAAGTTATTCTAATATACAGTCAAGGGAGAGAACCAATGAGAGTCTTTCCAAATTTAGAAGACAATCCAAGGTTATAAATCTAATATCAATCTTAATGTGAAGTTTTAAAAATTAATATATGGCATCTATACATTACTCCAGAAAAATGTAGATCCATTATATCTATTTTCTATTCTGAAGTTGTTTTGTTTTGTTTTTCCCTGAACTTAAGGTGTTACTGTGGTCGATTGATTGGAGAACATCCTGGAATAGATTATGCCTGGACCATCTCGGCTGCCAAGAGTAGTGAAAATGAACAATGGTCTGTTGAAAAGCACACAACAAAAAGCCCTACAGATGCCTTTGGCACAATTAATTTCCAAGATGGAGAGCATACCTACCATTCCAAGGTTTGCTAATAACCCAAATTGTTTTACTAGTTTTGAACAGAAGATAACCTCCAAACGTGTCTCTAAATTGTATCTGCAAGTATAGATAATCAGATGACCTGGTTTTATCGCAAAATGATCCATGCTGTTGACCCACTTGACAAAAATGGCCTGACTCTCTCTTTCCTTTATCTGAGGGGCATTGTACCTTTCCCAGGTGTGGTGTGGCCAGCTCTTTGTTTGACTGACTTCTTTCAGCAAGCTTCTACTCTGTGCAGAAGGGAATGGTATACTGCCCTGAGACAATTGCCAAAGGGCTGCCTTTTTCTAAAGGAATGCAGAAATTGACTTCCAAGGAGCAGATGTTAGCTGAAGCATGACCATAGCAATTACCAGTAACTTAGGACTCCTCATGCTCCCAAGTTCTTGTGAGAGCCTCTTCTCAGAAAGAATATGGGAGAATTTCCGTTTGTGTCTACTGAAGGATAATACTTGGGCCATGCAGGCCAGTTTTCCGCCTATCCCTAACGTGGTAATTTTGCGTGTGATTCGCATGGTATTGACAGGCCAGCTATCCCTCAGGTGTTTTCTCTTGAGCATGTTAACTGCCTGCTGCTTCATGAGAGGCAGCTTTCTCTGGGGAAACTGCAGGTAGAGCTCACCTCGGAAAAGCTCTGAGTCAGCTCTATCCTAGAGTGTGACCATGAGTTGGTTAATAGTGCAATCCTAATACAATTTCAAAATACAGTTCTACAATAATCTACATTTCCATTTATTAGTCCTCTTGCATTTAACTTTGTGTGTTGATGTTTTCTTTAGTTGGCAGGAAAATTGCCCTTGTTCCCTTCTCTAATCCTTTTTGGAAGCTGATTTTTAAAGAACCCTATGTGTATTTTTCCCTTGAGTTTTACTCTTCTGCTTTTTTATTTTATGTTTATTTATTTTTTTTAAGAGACAAAGTCTTGCCCTGTCACCCAATCAGGCTGGAGTGCAGTGGCATGATCATAGCTCACTGCAGCCTTGAACTCCTGGTTTAAGAAATCCTCCCGTCTCAGCCTCCTGAGTAGCTAGGACTACAGAGATATGCCACTATGCTGGCTAATTTGTTTATTGAGACGAGGTCTTGCTATGTTGTCCAGGCTGATCTTCTGGCCTCAAGCGATCCTCCCGCTTTGGCCTTCCAAAGTGCTAGGATTACAGGAGTGAGCCACCGTGCCTGGACCCATATTTATTCTTACTTGGTCCCCTTCATTTACTCATATTTTCATCCACTCAACAAATATTTATTGGGTGTCCATACTTGCTATGCCCCAAAGAGTGTATATTCTATGTACTAACATTGCGTATAGTTTAGTGAGAGAAACAGGAAATAAATATACAATTACCACAGAGGACAAATGGGAATACAGGTTCTTTGAGAGAATGGAAAGAGCAACTCCCTTGTTTTTGAGGGGGTTGTGTGTGTGAAGGAAGTGTCTGAAAGTAGGGACAGCTAAGCTGAGGTCTGAAAGGGGAGGTGAATGGTGTCAGATGCGGCAGAGGGGTACAACCACTCCAGGCAAGAGGAATGGCTTGTGCAAAGGCCAAGGGAGTATATGGCATGTTTAGGAGACCTGAAAATATTACTGGACATATTTTCTGATAATTATTATGCTTTATGTTTCTCATTCAGCTCCCACCACAGCCTGTGTAGCTGAATGCATTTTCTTTAATGTTTCAGAAGAGAAGAAGATAGCATTCTCAGCATTCATACTTAGGTCCAGAATCGCAATTCATGTTTACACTGGAAAGATTGGGAGAGCTGGTTTTTTTAAAAAATTATTTTAGAGACAGTGCCTCTCTCTGTCGCTCAGGCTGGAGTGCAGTGGTGCAACCATAGCTCACTGTAACCTCAAACTCCTGGGCTCAAGAGATCCTCCTGCCTCAGCCTCCCAAGTAGTTGGGATTGCAGGCATGTGCCACCACACCTGGCTAATTTTTAAATTTTTTTGGAAAGATGCGGGTCTCCCTGTTATTCACGCTGGTCTCAAACTTCTGGGCTCCTAAAGTACTGGGATTACAGGTGTGAACTTGAGAGCTGGTTGTTTATCTTCCTCTCCTGCATTCCCCTTTCCCAGTTGTTTATTCCACTGTGGATTTGCAGTGAAACTCTGCCAGGAGGATCCCGCCTAAGGCATTAGTCATAAAGGAGATAGAGGAAGAAGTGAGTCATTGACTCTTTAGCATAGTCTTGAGTTGGCCTTTGGGAGAAAAGTCTCTAGTGCTGATAAGTTAGTTCATCAAGGTTGTTTATCCTGAAATTTCAGGGAGAAATATCTTCTAGAACTAAAAGTACTGAGAGTGGAAGGAGAGGAGTGCCTGGGAGAAAGAGTGGGTCAGAGAGAAGGTGAACTAAAGCGCTGGTTCCTCTATGCTGATTCATTATTTGCAGCAACATAAACCATTTCACAAAGATTGTATTTTTTTCCCACTAACCGTGGCAGCTCAGTTACCTCACTTGTACACTGAGTCCTGATTATTCTTATATTCTTTCTGTTACTCACATTTTCCTTTTCCTTTCTCCCTCCCCTCCCAACTCACATTTTTCACTAGCTGCACCATCCCGATGTTCAGAAATTCTAATATTTTAGTTATGAAATAAAGGGATTACGTATTAAGAAGTTCAAGGATGAATGGGAAATTCTTTTAAATTGCTATCGTATTCTGGAGGATAATGTGATAATTCCTTTGTGCATGGATGGAGATCTTCACCTGTGGTTATTTTTGGTATAATTTTATAATTTCTGGTCTCTTATTGTCCTTATTTCTTTCTATAAATCTGGCTTATTCTTGCTGTTGGTTTGCATATGCTTGAGGAAGATAAACTGATCTCAATATTATCTGAAAGGTCTGTATGTGGCTGTACTTGCTGGAGAAAGCAAGCCAGTCATGTAATACAATCTTAGGTAAAGTGAAAAAATGATTCGGGGGCTGCCTGCTGGTTTGGGTTTTCTTCATCTTTTTTCTTTGCATTGACTATTCAGAGTTGACCGGTGAAAAGTATTTATTTTGGGGAAAAAGGCTTTCAGAGGGATAATAATATAAAAAGGAATTAATTAAAAGATAAAATTTACAATAAATTAAATGTATGGGCCAGGCACGGTGGCTCATGCTTGTAATCCCAGCACTCTGGGAGGCCAAGGTGGAGGATCACTTGAGCTCAGGAGTTCAAGACCAGGCTGAGCAAGAGTGAGACCCATCTCTACTAAAAATAGAAAAATTAGCCTGGCGTGGGGTCGTGCACCTGTAGTCCCAGCTACTCGGGAGGCTGAGGCAGGAGGATTGCTTGAGCCCAGGAGTTGGAGGTTGCAGTGAGCTATGACGGCGTCACTGCATGATCTACACTGGGTGACAGAACGAGACTCTGTCTCAAGAAAAAAAAAAAAAGGAAATTGAACCTCCCTTATGTAAAAAAAAATGTATGTGTTTCTAAATCTTAATTTAAATTATGCAAATATATGAAATGACCAAGTAAATTCAAAGCCATATGAAAAGTCCCATTTCACTTATTTCTTAAGGCTTTTTATTAAGAGGTTTGCCGATACAATGATTTTGGCCAGTCGTTTGAAGTATTTCTGCCTCACCCCAGGCCTTCTGGAGAGCACGGGTGGGCCAGCGCTGGAACCAGAGGAAGCTTCCCTGCAGTGACTTGTAATTCCCAGAAGGAACTTAAAGGGGGTGTGGGATCTTTTAAAGTAAATATTTCCGTTACATGAAGATGAACTTTTGAAGAGATCCCAGACCCTTCCTTTCAGGTCCTGGCCATTGCAGCTGCCCTGCTGAGTGCTCATTGTTTCTATACCTGGTATATATTTTTCATTATTTTCTGTTCACGTGCATGTTCATGTTTTGCAGTATATTAGAACTTCTTATGATACAAAATTGGATCATCTGTTACATTTAATGTTGAAAGAGTGGAAAATGGAACTGCCCAAGCTGGTGATCTCTGTCCATGGGGGCATCCAGAACTTTAAGATGCCCTCCAAGCTTAAAGAGATCTTCAGCCAAGGTTTGGTCAAAGCTGCAGAGACGACGGGAGCGTGGATAATAACTGAAGGCATCAACACCGGTAAAGCGCGTTCCTGTCTGTCTACCTGCCTGCCTTCCTGTTCGCTCTCTCGCTTCTTTTTGTTTCCTCTTTCTAACTGTGAGGCAGGCAGTGTGTCCCCTCATCTCTGCTCTGCAGTGCTCCTGGGAGATGTGGCGCTGTGAAGGAGAAAGATGAAAAACCTAGTGACGGGAAAATAAACTCTGAAGAATCATAGGCCTTTCCTGGAATGTGTTTTTACGGTTGTCAAAATATACTATTTTAACATAACTTTGGGTAAACTTCTGGCAAAGAAAATGATCTTTCCTGAGCTTCAGACTGTGGTGAGGTCAGATAGGACATTGAATCCATGCAAGTGTGTAGTGTATGTGGGCTTGGACTTGAGCTGAACTCGCGATCATTGTCAAGTTCTTAGACATGGGAAATCGGAGATGTGCACAAAACTTGCACTGAGTATATTGGGCATGAGTAGATAATTACTTTTTTGATTGCTTCTTTTTTTAACTACGTGATTGCCAACACACTCACTGTCTTTATCACTGAATCTTTTATATTCCTTGGAATCTGACATTTAAGAACTGTGTACAGTGGCCTCCGAACCTTATTCCTTTGCTCCAGTGTTTATGAACTGTCTGTACGTTAGAATCGCCTGGGGAGCTTTTAAAACACGCATATATGCAGGCTCTTCCCCAGATGAAGTAGAAGCTTTCAGGCTGGAGCTTGTTTGATGTGCACCGTGATTGAGAACTAGTGATGCCATAAACCCTTGTCTCTTACCAATCTGTTACTAACCTGTGGTTTTCTATTTTCCCTTTACTTTTCTCTCTTTGATTTGGCATGCCCTAGCCAACGTGTCCTCTCCAGTTCTGCCCATTGCTTTAAGATCTAACTAGATACCAACACACCCGTGAAGCAGCCTCTGAATATCTTAACTAGAGCTGCTTACTTTTGTCTCTTAATTTCCCTTTTTAAAATTTTTTTCTCAGTATTTATTTATTTAATCATTTTTAGAGACAGAGTCTCACTGTGTTGCCCAGGATGGTCTTGAACTCCTGGCCTCAAGCAATTCTCCCACCTCAGCCTTCTGAGTAGTTGGGACTATAGGCACACATCACTGCACCTGGCTTGTCTCTTAATTTCTATGGCATTTATGGCCTGTAGCACTTAGAATGTTTATATTTTGCCTTACAGGTTAGGAAGGGTCTGTGAGTTAGCTCTCCTTCCTGGTAATGCGCTAGAGGCCAGGGCCCAGACATCTGCCTAAGCCTTTAGCAATATGTACTGATTTAACAAACAATTTCTTTTGACTGAAAAGGAATGAAGGAAGCAAATGACTGAAAAACAATGCAAGATAAAATCAGGGGATCTGGCCTGTCACTATTAGGTAACCTGGTAGTTCATCTTGCATATTTTATAGGGATAATTATCCTTTCACATTCTTGGAATAAACTGAAGTTGGCAGAGTTCTAAGTCCATTTTATAGCACTTATTTTATTTTCAGTAAAGAAGTAGGGGGGGTAGGGAAGTTTTGCACAGTTCAGAAAAAGGTAGACTTGGGCAAGGCTTTTCCTTTGAATAATTGACTAGATTACATGCCTTATTTTACTTAATGATTTTTTTTAAAATTCTAGGTTAGGCCCAACTAACCTAAAGGAATACAAATACGGTAGTGTAAAGGTGAATAAATAACAAAGGAAATGGGAAATGAGAAATATTGGGAGCTCCCCTAAACGATGGTCAGTCTGACCTGGTTCAGTCACAGCCCGGCTTGGCTCCTCAATGAGGGGTCCTGGACCAGCAGCCTCAGTGTCACCCGGGAGCTTGCTGGAAACACAGATCTCAGGCCCTGCCCAGACCTGCAGAATCTGAATCTACATTTTACCAACATCCCCAGATGTTTCTTACTCACATTTGAGTTGGAGAAGCTCTTCTTCTGAGCTTCTGTCTATTCTTGAGTCGCTTCTTAACCATAGTTGAACCTGATTTGGCATGAATTTTTGGCATTTACTTAAATTGAATGCCGCAGCCTTAAGAATCTACTATGTATAAAGCATTTGGAAAGGTGCTGGGGTTGAGAGATGAGGAACTTGGGCCCTGGGTTTAGTAATGGGCAGGCTATGACAAACAGACAAAAAGCACCTAACTAGAAATTGATGCTGACTGGGTTACAGCTGGGATACAAAGGAAGTCTTGGGAATACGAGGAAGAGGGAGATGAATCCCAGTTCCAGCTGAGGGCAGCTTGGGGGAAGAATATAGCACTTGGTGTTGGTCTGGAAGGAAGGGTAGAAAGAAGAGGCCTTCCTGTAAGACCTCAGGGCCAGACACAGCTGGAGATGGAGGCCTGTGTAGAAAGAAGTGATAAGGCCCCTGGCTGGAGTGTGCACCATGTGACAGGGAACAGGGAAAGCAAAGTAAACTGGAGCCAGATTGGGTGCCATGCTGGGGTTTCATTCTCTATGTGGCAGGGACCCCTGAAAGGATTTTGAGCAAGAGAATGAGTTAAGGGAATGACATGGTCAGATCGGGTTTTACAGAATCTCAACATACTATTTGTATTGGGATCACATGAACAGCAACCATGCTGGCAAACCATGCCAAACCTATGAATCAGAATCTCTGTTGGGGTAGATGGCTCCACATTTGATACTGATGTGTGCCTGTGGTCCCCAACCCAGATTCTAAAGTTGACTCTGGGAGAGGTTTTGAAAATAGATTGGAGGGGAAGATGCCAGAGAAAAGGAGATGATTTAGGCGCCAAGCATCGGATGCATGCAATATACAGGTTTTTTTTTTCTCTGCTAATGACACATATAGACGTCAACACTCTACATAGGAAGAGTAAGTCTTACGATGCAACACTCTACATAGGAAGAGTAAGTCTTACGAGTAAGTTCAGAATAAGCCAGTCTCAAAGGCTACTTACTCTATGATTCCAACTGTAGTATATGACATTTTGGAAAAGGCAAAACCATGGAGACAGTAGAAAGACCAATGGTTGCCAGGGGCTAGGAGGAGGGAGGGTGAACAGGAGGAGTACAGGGGATTTCAGGGCAAGGAAAGTCTTCTGTATGATACTACAGTGGTGGATACACATCATTATTCATTTGTCAAAACTCATAGAATGTAAAACACCGGAGTGAGCCCTAATGTGAACTATGGACTCCGGTGGGTGGGTAGTGATACATTAATGCAAGTTCATTAATTGTGACATGTGCACGACTCTGGTGGGCGATGTTGGCAATGCGGGAGGCTGTGTTTGTGTGGCGGCAGGGAGTAGCATAGGAACTCTCTGGACTTGCCATTCAGTTTTGCCGTGAACCTAAAACTGCTCTAAAAAATAAACCTTTTTTTTTTTTTTAAGAAAATCAGATTACCTAGACTGGAATCTAAGCTCTACAAATTACCAGCTCTATAATCTTGAGCAGTTTTTTTTAACCTCTCTGTGCCACAAATTTTGCCTATAAAATGGACTAAAAAAATTTCCTACTTAAAGTGTAAATACATATAAAGGTAGCCAACACTTACTGAAATCTACATGGCAGTAAGTGTGGGCTACTGTAATTATTGTTATTATTAGTCCCAGGAGGGCAAATATTAATGTATTACTCCTTAATGTATTAGCTGTGGAGTATTTGTGTATATAAAGCTATTAAATTCATTTGCCTTAATGAAGGAAGGGACATATCGACAGGATGTTTTGTTGAGACATTGGAGAAAATTAGAAAGAAAACCATTCGTGATGTCAGGGCTGGGCTTGCTGAAGAGGGACAATGCACAGAGCATTCTTAGGCAAGAGTGGGAGCAGAACTGAGGTTGTAGGCAGGAACTGCCCAAAGCGAGAGGAGAATTGTTTGGGTAGAGAGAGCTCAATGATAGAAGAAAGAGATGTCGAGGAAAAAAAGAGGAAGCCAAGTTACCAAAAACTAATTCTACATGCTATTTCCTTTAGCATTGCCTTTTGCATAGACTTGTCTACTTGTTGTTTTCTGGCAGTGACTTGTGTTTCACATCATTTCTGAATTAAAGTTTGATTTTTAAACTGGTTGTTCATAGGAGTGTCCAAGCATGTTGGAGATGCCCTGAAAGCTCATTCCTCTCAGTCCTTGAGAAAAATCTGGACAGTTGGAATCCCTCCTTGGGGTGTCATTGAGAACCAGAGAGATCTTACTGGAAAAGATGTAAGTAGACAATCCTTTCATAACAAAAGGAAATGAACACGTACCCAAACCGCCAACTTAACACTTTACCTGGATGTCTAAGGGACATCACAATTGTAATACATCCTAATCTAACTGCTGACTTCCTACTACTTCCCTCACCCTGTCTTAGAAAATGACAATCCCATCCTCGTAGTTGCTCGAGCCAAAAACATTGGACTAATCCTGGAATGATGTCTTTGTCTCATGCCTCAAACTTGATCCATCAGTAAACTATCAGCTCCACTTTAAAAATATACCCACCATCTGACCACTTCTCATTACCTCCACTGTTATTGAGCAGGTCCAAGCCACCATTATCTGTTGTCTAAATGATTGTAATAACCTTCCTTACTTGTACTTTTGACTCCTATTACAGTCTATTCTCAATACAGTAGCCAGAATGATTTTTCTGAAATACCAAGCAGATCATGCTGTTCCTCTTTGCAAAATCTTTCCATGGCTCCTATCTTGCTTGGAGTAATAGCCAAGGTTCTTGCAATGGTTTGCACATAGTGAAACAAGGGATATTCTTAATTTCACCCTCACTAGTTCTCTTCCCTCATCTCGTTTTACTCTCGACTTCATTCTTGTGTATTGACTCTGCTCCTATGTATGAGTTCTTTTAAAGAAAATATACTTGTCCACTTACAAGACTAATATAAATTTCTGGTAAAAATATCAGATATTAGAAAAGGCATACAGAAAAAGGTAACTACTGTTAATATTTTGGTGTGTATCGTTCCAGAATTTTTTCTATATAAGTGTGCATGTAAATAGTTAAAAAAAAAGTGTCTATTTAAAAAAATTTAACAACAGAAATACACTACTATGAATTTGTTTTGTAAGCTTAACCATACAACATAGTTATTTCTCTATGTCTATTAATATAGACGTGCAGATGATTTACTTTAACTTTTATTTTGGAAAATCTCAAACATATTAAGCAGTAGAAAGATTAGAATAATGAATTCCTTCCTATGTACCCATGTCCCAGCTTCAACAGTTATCAATTCGTAGCCGATTTTGTTTCCTCTTTTCCCTTATCTGCTCCTAATTAACCCCTTCCATTATTTTGAAGCAAATTTGAGATGTCAAATAATTTCATCTGTGAATATTTCAGTAGTTATTTAAAAAATATATGGACAATTAAAAAATTAAACCATAGTGCAGTTATCATACCTAAAAAGTTAATAGCAATTCCTGAGTATCGTCAACTATCCAGTCCAGTTCAGTTTTTCATTGTCTCATAGTTTTTTAATTGTTAGATTTCATTATCCAAAAAAGTTCCATACATTGGTATGGGTTTATATGTCTCTCTTGACTTGCTTTTCTTTTGAGTGACTTTATTTATTTTCATTTTATTTTATTTTTTTGAGACACAGCCTCACTCTGTTACCCGGGCTAGAGTGCCATAGCGTCAGCCTAGCTCATGACAACCTCAAACTTGTGGGGTCAAGTGATCCTCCTGCCTCAGCCTCCTGAGTAGCTGGAACTACAGGCATG